CACTCAATGACGCTAACCAAAGACGAAGAAAAAATCGAGGCATCAGGAAGAAGTGTGTAAACCCAGACGGCGCGAGTGTAAAGTAAAATGAGAAAAAGAACGCGGGATAGATCAATATCCCCATCTTCAAAAAGGCAGACAAAAACAAATGGATACAATGGAACCCAAAAACACTATTCACTCCAGAATGCAGACGGCCGTTTAAGCAGATTTTGACACCAGAAATTAAAAAACAATAGAACCTTGAGAAAAAGCCCCTTATATCATCCTCTATTCGCCTTTCCGGGTCGCACATGGCCGTATCGCTTGCAGATCAGTCTATAAAAGTAGATCACTGTGAATCGGGGGAAAAGGATAATAAAAAACGAAGGAAAAAAAAAAAAAAAAGAAAAAAGTAAGGCATGGCCTCGTAAAAAGACAGCATCAGAAGAGTGAAGTTTGAAAAAAAAAAAAAAAAAGCCACCAAAAATGGCAGCTTCCAACAGAGCCTTCAAATGCAGGCACGCATATTGTAGGAGTCCGACAACATGATAGAGGGAATAAGAAGGTAAGGACTAAATTTGGCGTCTCCATTAGAGTCGCCTACCTTGGTTGCCATGTCTGCCTTCTTCGAAGCTTCGCCGGGAGGCCCCGAAATCGCTCATAGCAAACAATAGCGGCTCGTCCTCTTCAGCTTGTGATGGTGGCGGAGGATTGTTTCGGCCCGAACTTGGTCGTCGCCCAGCTCCCCGACGATCTTCAACAGCGGAGGTGCCGCTATTACTGCCACTTGCATTGCCATCACGATCATGATCACGCTCAGCGAGATCAGAAGGAGCGCCGCGCGCAAGACTACTCGAGCCGGAGCTGAGGGAGTGCGGCCCATCAGACAGTCCTCGCCCCCGACTAAGGCCGAAGCGTGGTTGGTAGACTTGATTGTTCGACGGCGACGGTGTCGCAGTCGGCCCTGACAGTGATGTCCGCTTGTGGGGGCTTGCTCCGTGTCCAGTTGAGCTCGACCTTCGGCACGGATCTTCGCTGGCCGAAGGCGGACGCTGTTCCCTGCGCGTTGGCTGGGTGGTTGATTTAGCCCCTTCCAGGTCATGCTGTCTCTGTAGGGCGCTTAAGCTATTGTGTGATCTCTCCTCAGCCCCGAGGCTTACGCTGCGCAGATTGAAGGGGAATATCTCATCATCGTCGGTCGCAACTGGTGGAGGGGGTGGAGCAGCAGAGCTGGGCCGACGATAAGGCGGGAATGGCAACCCTGGTGACGTAGGGATATCAATGGCATTCACCGTTGCGACGGACGGGCGATGGGGTATGGTCGGACCCTCGGGAGTGTAATCTCCGACCGAGGAGGGTTGCTCGCGACCTCTATCGTTGTCATAATCAACGATGCTGTTAGAACTTAGGCGAGACGGAATGGCCGGAGTATGTGGGGTATGGGGTGAAATGGGTTTGCCCGGAGAAGAGGCCGTCGAAATCGAAGTACCTGCCACCATGGGAGGCACTCCCGAGAGCTGCTTGCTCGAAGAGGTCGACGAGCGCTGTAAGAGCATAGAAGATGACATTGACTCCGACAGTTGCGCGTTCGAATCTCTCATTCGCTGGAACCGGGTCAACGCAGCTGAAGTAGCCGTTGTCCGGCGTGCAGTCACATCAGCAGAAGCCGAGTTTGATGTTTTCAAGAGATCTTTCCTCAAATCCAGCATCTTCAGGAACTCCGTGATGTTCTCATCGTCTGCATGAATGGAATCTGCACTTGTCCCCGTGGCTTCAGCAAGTAAGCCTGACCCAGGTTGAGGGTTGGAAGACGTTGCACTGGTCTTGCCACTCGAGTTTTCGTCGTCGATTTTGTTGATGTTGCCCGAAGAAGGCCTACCCCGTCGATGAGTGAAGGCGCTACTGTACCTTGCGGTTGGCGTAGGCCGAGGTGATGCCGAATTGGAAGAAGTAGCTGTAGTCTCAGAAGCCCCGGGCAAAGGTAAGGATTTGCGAGCGGAAGCTGCCATGGACGGCGGTGGCATGTTCTTCGATTCTGGGAACGAAGGGCGAGCCATTGTCCCTGACCGGGGCGACATACCCAGTGGAGGATCAACAAGAGATGGCGACGCAGACAATGGCGGTGCTTTGAACGGAGGGAAAGAGATAGACGATCGTCTAGCAACGCCCGGGCTACTTTCATTTGCCAAAACGGCAGCACGGCCCAGAGGACTTGCCTTCACAACTTCTACAGGCTTCCGGGAAGAGGAACTTGGAGGGGATGGCGAGGCAGCTCCTGATTCGCGGGCGGCACGAAGAGCTGAAATTGGACTCGCACTGGTCGTAGGGCCGACGTGGTGGAACGTTGAAAGACTCCCATAAGCTCGACTTGGGTCAGGGTCTTCGACAGTTCGTTTCTCGACAGGAGCCGATCCGACCCCGGAATTGGCGGCCTTGAGGTTGGAATCCCTGCTAGGAAGTGAAGGGCGGAAGACTTCATCGTCGGCTCCCATGAATCGGGAACTCAAAAGAGCTTCCGAGTCGTCCACTCGAAACTCACAGCTTGTTCGATAGGTCACTTGGATGGAAAGGTATCCAACCGGCGACTCCGTGGTCCCAAAGGTGTACGTATCGACCACCCTATTAGGGCTGTCGAATAGCGGCGTAGTCAATCGATCCGGCTTGGAGTCATCCGGATTGGGCTTCCCAACCAAGATACGATACCTGATCTTAAGCGCCGGGTGCGTATGAAGCCTCCCGTTGCGCTTTGCGAGCTTCCATGCGGGTAACAACTTGGAGTAGGTGAATAACGTTCTGAACGTCACAATACTCAGCTTATATATTTTTGGCAGATTTGAGCCAAGATCTGCCGGTAGTGCCTTGTTAGGCGTATTCCCCAGTTCCACCCTCCATCGCTCTAGAATAACATCCTCGGACCTAGACGATAACGGCCCCTTGGCATGTACCTCTGAAGACCTAGAAAGAGATTCCAGAACATCAAATCGTTTCCCTTGCTCATCCAAGGCAACAAGACTTTGGTTATTCGTCAGATCCTTTGTATCCAGATACGTCTCGATGATCAACGGTGGAGGCGGTTGTTCGCTAACGTCGTTCGTTCGCCAAAATCGGAGCTCCTCTCGGAGGGCATCGATGTCTTCTAAATCGATGGCGAACTGGAAGATGGAGTAAAGTAGTTAGTAGAGTACATGGATACTAGGTATAATTGATGGGAAGCAGAGGCTCAGCATGTTTGGGGACGTAGCATACCCATCGATTGACTTTGGGATTTAGTTTCGGTGTATCTTCTGAGCGAGAGAAGTCGATCCGAGAGGCCAGTATTACTAGAGCGGCTTTTGTGTGGTAATTCTAGACGCAATATACAATTAAACCAATGGGCCCTTTGTTACATAGATAAGGGGACTAGAAGCCGGGTTCAATCCATACCGATACGAGCTGATTGAGCTTCAATATTGCTTCTTTCGCTGGGCGTGAACTGGACGTCTGTCCAGATGACCTAGCCTCCGTCTCTATTCCCAATCCCCGTGTAAGTTGTACCCTGGGGTCGAAAGCTGGAGAATTCGGGCGGAGATCTTGATCTCTGCGGTCATCGGAGCGGTTTGCGCCCGGCCTGGATGCGGAGGGGGGCGCCGCAGGCGCCGGAGATCGGGGGTGTTGATGCATAATGTAAACTGCGGATATTTTAGAGAAATGGATATGAATCGTAACTGAGCCGTCTTCGAGTGGAGACAGCGTCCAGAACGACCGCTGCGTGTATGTCTGTAGATCAAGGAAACGGGGAGGTGACGGTCCCACTGCGGAAGGCCATGCTAACAAGCCCAACAGCCCGAGTTAAGGTCGACAAAGGGAGAAAGATGGAAGAAGGAGAGAAAGGCTGAGCGCTAAGTAACAGGCACTGGTTGAGATAGAACGAGGGACGCCGATATCATCGTCTGCTGTGCTCAGGCAACAATGAGATGTTGGAGCATTTGGAGCATGCGGTCTAGACAACCTTGGGAGCTTCTCCGCACTGACGACTTTGGGCGGATCCAGGCGTCCGGGGGTGCACGGCGTTCTCACCGTAATGGGGAGAACCAAGGGGTTTTAGGAACGCATGGTTGAGTACTACAGATGAGGGAAGTAGGAGTGGATGGCCAAAGGGGAGGGGAAGAGGTTGTAGTAGGAGAGTAAGATCCACAGAGAAAGGACGAAATGTAGGAAGTGGAAGAATGGAGAGGAAAAGGAAAAGAGAGAGAGAGAGAGCGAGAGAGGGAGAGGGAAGAGAGAGACAGGCGTTATGGTAATGAAAGTCAGTCAGTCCAGTCAAGCGTACGGGCGCAGAAGGTCTGTGACGCACACCCGGTGACTCGGTGGTTTGAAAGGAAGCAGGTCAAGTGCGAGCGGTCAGTCAGTCAGGCTGACGGGTGCCACAGCAGGTCCTCCAAATGAAATAACCCATGCGATCTGGGACAATACAATCAATGGCTACGGGCAAGATCAGACTAATCAGTAAGGGAGGGAGTCTTCCACTTGATCGAGGGAATGCTCTTGTGCTCTGTCTGTTATTTTGGGCGGACCAAGATTATGGTGCAGGAGGTGAGCAGTTGCAGCTGGAAAGATTAAAACGGGCGATTCGAAGGCGGTCAAGCCGCAAGCTGCGGCTGCAGTTCTGTATGAACCAGTATCAACCAGGTACGGCCCAGTCTAGTGCCTGCGTCACAGAACGGTATTGGCCGAGAGATAAGGAAAGGCTGATCAAGCGGTGATAGCATGAAGTCATAGCCTGATAGGCGTGGCTGGCTGCCAACTGGCACGGGGGCCTGCCAGGCAGTCGTAATTACCCCGTTAGATGCGTGGTATCTTACCCGAATTCGAAAAGAAAAGGGGGGCTCTTGTCATGTGGAACGGTACTACTAAATTCAGACTATCCCCGAATGGGTTAGCCCTCCTAAAGTTACCGCTTGCGCCTGGGCGATCAATCAACTTGCATGATAATCCCTATCCATGACAACATTCCATGCTTTCTAACTTTAGCCATCTCAGTCTTTCCTGTGGTGCCCGCGAAACCTTCCACACAGCAATGTCGTGATTTTGGCCCGCCGTCGTCGGTAGACGGCAATTTCTTTGAAGCCAAACAGACTTCAAAGCCAGCTCAACTGACTGTCAACTTGGGATGTCTGCGACGCAGATCGACGAGATGGGGGTGGATCGCAGAGCGCCGACAGCCTCCGAGCACCGAGAGCTTGGACCACACACCCCCAACTGTCCTGGGACTGGCTGCCTCACCTGCAACGGCCTGCAGGTTAGGGTGGAGAGCAGACGCCAGTTGCCCGGTCTACAAGGCACTGTACCTTAGTCTGTAGCTATACCTTTCAGCTCGAGCCAATGCAATCCAGTCTACTGTACAACACACTGCCGGCATGATGCACCGGAACTGTGAGGTTTGCAGCCTAGGCGGCTGGCTAAGACCCCTTCAAAACAACCTAGACTCCTAACTCATCGCAGACCCCGAATCGGGGGAAGCTAATAGGTGATGCATCATCCCCAGGAAAAGCGTGGGACTCTATCGGGGAAATAAAATAGCATGTTTAAATTTGGAAGTAAAGCAAGCAAGCAAGCCAATGGGAATCGGCTCTAGCGCATCTCTCCAAAGACTTGGATGTGGTTGTTTGGAGCCAGTTGGTGGTACAGCTGTATGCGCTAATCTAGATCACAACAATAGGGCCTCGACACTTCATCTTTCGTACCTTTGTTTGGGCTGTTTCTTTTAGGTGGGTTTGTAGCCTTGTGGCCGATTGTTGCCTACATGATGATAGATAGAATCTATGTGCAAGACCTGTGATTCCTGAGATTACTACAGGCAGCCACGAGCATAGCTTACACAACGCCTTCTTTCTCAAGGCAGCATCCAGTAGTAGCTTTCCTTATGCCTGAGGCATAAAGGTCTACTCTCGGGAAGGGCTTATTGAGATTCAGTATCGTAGGAATATTCATGTGTTACCTGATAATTGGTTCCACAAATACTGTAGTGCGTTATCTAATGTACTATGTAGTCAATCTAGAACTACGGAACAGCAGTAATATTTTAAATACGATGTAGAAGAAACATCATTGGTAAAAGAGACAGCGAAGCCAAATGTGTAGGAGTCCAGACCCACTGCTCGTCGAGAATTCAACAAAGCCCTGAAAATTAATTTCTAGTGATATGAATACGCCCTCAAGCATTATCCATCAGAACATCCACCCGTCCCTGCAACAATGTGGAGACCCTGACAATTCCAGCAGAGGCCTACGCAAGATGTGAGTGACAACAAATGCTTGCTATGAACAAAAGCAGAGCATGAAAACCTGATGTATCCGATCATTGTGTGCATCCCTGTGAACTTATCTTGATAAGATGGATGGATATAGGGTCCACCTGACAGCATGCACAGGGACAAGGAAATAGGGTCATGACAGGGTGTTCTTAGTCAGTTGGGATAAGTAGACAAAGCAATGCGTCGAGGGATAAAGGAGGATAGAAAGGGGTAATTTTAGCACAACCACTGATTGGCATGGATGATATGACAAAGAAGGATGGGACGCATGGCCCTCAATGGTGCAAGAATTTGAGTCTGGAGTGAAGACAACGAGGATGGCGACAGCATAGAATACATTTCGAGAGAGGTAGTAGTCCTGAGCGGTTGTACCACAAAAAGGAAGCAGGCAAGCGCCTAACTAGCGAGTCCAATAAGACCGTGTGCAACAGCTTGATGGGATGTCCACCATCACAAATGATGGGCGATACTAGACAAGATCTTTAGATGGTGGTTGTTGTTGGTGTTGACTGTTGAGGGGATATTGCCTCTTCAAAATGAACAGGGCAGGGACAAAAATAAAAAAAGATCGCCCGATGCGAGGGTCGAACTCGCAGCCTTCGGATTACGATTAATCATAAAAGTCCGACGCTCTGACCAATTGAGCTAACCGGGCAACTTTTGATAACGTGACAGCCTATCTATCTGATTTCAATGCTTCTTAATGGTAGTGGGCTACGTTAGCCAATGTGCGGCGGTGGAGAAGTGTCCAGATCCACCTGTCAACCGCTTTTACATGGAAAGCGACAGAAGATGGCAAAACTATTATATAATTCGAGTTATCGTTCTCCACCTTTCTAAATGGTAGCTCAACCGTGGCTGTTATCATGTCGGCAAAAATGGAGACTACCATGGTCAAGGTGCGAAAAAGAAATCGCCCGATGCGAGGGTCGAACTCGCAGCCTTCGGATCACATGTGATCGTAAAAGTCCGACGCTCTGACCAATTGAGCTAACCGGGCAATTGTTGGCGAATCTTCAGAGAATTTGATATCTAAACCAGGAGCCTAACTTAGGGCAGAGCAATGGATAGATAGATATGTAGCCAATTTTTTATGCGATACGCCAGGCTTATGGTGATAGTTTTCAGATGAGGTCTTGTGGAATCGCCCCAATCAGAGTAACACTGTCGGGAAGGATGAGATTATAAGAAGAGTTACTGGTAAATATGTAGTATACCTATCAAGCTGCAGGCGATAATCCTGGTGCTGTTGAGCATTAAGTGTAACCGACCGAACGACGGGGATCTACAACAGATATACTTACGGTAGTAGTACGGGGCTGTAGGGCATGAGATACACATGGATGTTGCAATGCTAGTACCCCTGTTCAGTACCTGGATGTAACACGAATGATCTCACATACTAGTATCGATAGCAGAGTTATCAAATCTTGTACCAGATGATGGTTACACATTTCCCTCACGGCCATAGTACTTCTTAAAAGTTCATTAATGAAATGAAACCTAATGCTCCTCGCCGTACCGTCGGGGAACATGGAGGGGTGCGCCGCTGCGATTGGCCACCGCCCGGAGAGTATTATCCACGGATCAGAAGGAAAGGGCATAATCAGTCTGTGCTTCCCTGCGAACACCCTCCAGTCCATCTTACTTCCTGTCCGGCTAATGGCCTCCATCCCTCCTTGAACCCGGTCATCCGACTTGATTTCGCGGTCGCGTACCTTCCCTCCAGCTTACCCGACGCGCTGAGCCCTTCCCTCCCCCGCTGTTCACCAAGACTCCGAGTCCAATATTCGTCCCCCCGGTATAGCTATCATCGCCACCGCATTTCCGCGTTCGATTGACTTCCAACTATCCTCATCGGCAAAAAGCCATCACTTACAGCGTCCCAATCTCCCATCTACGGCCCTGACATATTTCCTCTCGAAGAAATCTCCGATAAATTGCACCCCCGCGTTGACCATCGTCAACCCCTCCTTTTCTGTCCGGTCAGAATACTCTTGTCACCCACACTCTTGCTGGTGCGCCGCCAACCCTCCGCGGTTACAGCGACGCTCTGGTTCTGGGTAGATAAGAGTTTCTGACACACTACAACTTTGAGCACATGAGTAGCAAGCTCTGGGGTTTCTTCTTTTACGATGACGTTGAGAGCTTTCGGCGGTTCCTGGCAACGGCCACCTATACAACGGGTGGCAGCCAGCGGACGGGAACCGGAGGGGCTTCTCCCTTCAAGCCGGGAAGCCCCGGGTCCGTGATAGCCTCCTCGCCAGGTACGTTGACGAAGAGCAGGAAATTGACGGGGACCTCCCCAGGTACTCCCACACCGGATCGAGGTGGTAGCCTGCGCCCTGGCAAGACGCTATCTCGGGAGGAGCTGAATGCCCGAGATCATCATGGTCGAACCCTCCTTCATCATGTGGCGTCTTCGCCAAAAGATACTGCAATTGAATTTGCCATAGCCCTGCTCGAGATTCCCGCTCTTGATATCTATGCGCAAGACTGGGAAAGTGGTTGGACGGCTTTGCATCGGGCTCTATACGCAGGAAACGCAACAATCGCTCAGGCGTTGATGGCTCGGGATATGCGCGACGCTACAGATTTCAGCAAAGCAAGCAACCCCGGGCACCCAAGTGGAGGGTTGATCAGGATCAAGGACCGAGAAGGTTATAGTCCTTTCGATGTGTATGGGGCGACGATTGCGACTCGCGATATCAAACGTATCAGCCCCCGGGCAACAGCTCAAGCCCCTCTTCTTGCAGATATGGACAACAGCGATGCTGCTTCCGATGTGTCATCCCGCGGAGAAGGCTTTGAGGAAGACTCACGTAGTATGAGGAGTATTGTGAAGCCCAGAACTAACTTGTCTGGTGACGAAGTGTTCACCTTTGGGAGTAACAAGAACTTGAACCTTGGAGTTGGCGATCAAGATGATCGTCAATATCCTGAAAGAATCACTCTCAAACGACCCGGGCACCTCCTACAACGCTTTTACCGTGAATTTCTGGAGCAACGGTCGAATGACGACATCTTTGACCCCGATCAAGAACCCGGCTACTCAACGGACTTGCCAGCGTTGGTAAAGAATAAGCCCATAAAAATCCAGAACATTGTTATGTCGAAGCTTCACACAGCTGTTCTCACTACTGACCCCGAGTCTAACCTCTTCCTCTGTGGTTTCGGGCCCGGCGGGCGCCTTGGTACAGGGGATGAGTCAACTCGATTCAGTTTTGTCTGCATAGACACGGGTGGACTCGCAAATAGGAGGGTGGTTTCTGTTGCCCTAGGCCAAGACCATACGCTAGCGATCACTGACCGCGGCGAAATTTTCAGCTGGGGCAGCAACAAGTTTGGCCAACTTGGCTACAGTCTCCCAAGGAGCAACAATCGGGACGACGTGCCTATACAGAATTCGCCTCGACAAATTTTCAATCCCTTCAAGAAAGAGGTTATTCTTGGAGCAGCAGCATCGGCCATTCATTCGGTCGTCTTTAGCACTTCTGGTCTGTACACATTCGGTAAAAACGAAGGACAATTGGGGTTGGTGGACTCTGATGCTCGTTCACTCGAACTTCAAACGACGCCCCGACGGGTAGGAGCATCTCTTTTCAGCGCCCCGATACAAAGTGTGTCTGCTATCGATCAGGCGACAGCAGTTCTCCTCCAGAATCATGAAGTCTGGGTATTCTCGCAATACGGCTATTCGAAGCTCTTGTTTCCTTTGGATGTCAGTTCGAGGTTCATAAAGGACAGTTTTATGGCTACACGGTATGGTTCATCTGTCAATGAGATCGTTCAGGTCAAGTCGGGTGGAAATACCATCTGTGCGCTGTCCAGCTTTGGTGAAGTATATACAGTTCAGGTCAACAAGACAGAACATCCGCCAGTATCAACTTCAACGACCAACCCATCCAAAACCCGCAATTCTCTGTCCCAGCCGACTCGCGTTTGGTCCATTAAGAAAGCCCATATGGCCGCTGCAGATGTAGACGTGGGGCAGGATGGTTCGATCGTCATTTGTACCGTTTCCGGTTCGGCCTGGAGAAAGGAGAAGCGAGGGAAGACGAAGGATGGCGCATCGAAGGATTACAAGTTTGCTCGCGTACCC